CACCTTTGTATCCTCCATAAGGACCCACCAATGGAGCTATTCCTACTATCTGGGCACCAGCAGCTGGACCAAGCAGTGCACCACCAGCAGGGTATGCATTTGACATTGCAGACGCAAGCAAGTGCTGAGATCGTGAAGGATTCTCATGGAGGCGAGAAGCAATTTGATGCAGAGCCTTTTTCACAACTGCAGCTTCCCCAGATATCTAAAGCCAAAATTAAATTAAATAAAAACAAGCCAACTGTCATAGAACATCATAAAGAGAAAAATTAAAAAACAAAAAAAGAAATATAAATGTTACACGCAACAGGTACCAAATGAAAGAACACGAAGATTTTAAAAGAAAAAAGAACAAAAACATAGCAAATATTAGATGAATGCCAAAAAAAAGAGGAAAAAGACAAAAGTATTGTTTCATAAATTAAAGAACTCAATGCTGAGAAATTAAGTGATGAAATTTGTTGACTCCAGAGCTAAAAAGCAAGAAAATCTTTGATGAAATTGTTGATTTATAACCACAACAAAAACATCTTGCCAATTCTTTCAATAAATTAAAAGTGTTCTCAGCACAAATCTCTTCCATATCAATGGATCAACTAAACTATGTTTTAGAGGGATTGAGTAAAGCATTAGCATAATCCAAAAATAACACCACAACTACCAAATTTAGTCAAATTACCTGTACAAGTTCATCTGTGCTCAAGGCACAAGAAGGTAAGTGCTCATCCTTAAGAATGCGAATCTGAGCACCAGTTTCACTACGTATGTTCTGAACTATCTGTCCACCCTTTCCTATAACACATCCAATCTGATCAGAAGGTACAAGAAGACGAGCAGTAACTTGGTGACCTTCAGAATCTTCATCACCGTGCAAATCTTCTGCTACAACTTTGTCATGCACCCTGAATAGAGCATCTTGAGCAGGAGAAACAAGATTGTCGCCATCTTCGAGGGCATTTGTCTCGTCCCTAGAGCTGTAGATAGTAACCACACGCTCCTCAGACCCAGGAACTGTCTCACCAATCCTAATCTTTGACTTAGTTTCTGCTCTTAATTGCTTAACAATTTCCCCTCCCCTTCCAATAATGCTTCCTATTTTTCTTACAGGGCACAAGTACCGATATACGGTATCTTCTGAGTCAATAACAAATTGTTCCCTGTCATCACCTGGATTTCTCCTCTTATTTGATCCATTCTCAGAATAATCAGACTGAGAATGAGCCCGCTTTCCATAGCTATTCCTCTGACCCGCCATTTTTATCAGCAAAACTAAAACCTGTTTCCAAGTCAATTATAAAACTTTTCAAACACCTACTAACTTAACCAATCTCTAGGGGCAAGCCACTTAAAATGTAAAGCACCCGCATAAAACTAATCAACAGACCAAATCAATAAATAGTGGCATATTTTCAATCATCATAGCATAATTTAGTAACACTAAAGCTCCATTTGATTGTTGCTTTTACTATCACCTTAGTGAATAGCAAATGTACAAAATTACTTTTATTAGGAAAAGGTTATGTTTGAATACACACTACATTCCAATTACATGTTCATTTTTAATCAAATAAGATCTTACTTTTAGCATCTTAACACCATTGACAAAAACACATTTATAAAATCCTTAATACTCCATAGCTCAGCATTTCAACTACACAAATTCAACGATAAAATACTAATCGCATCTCAGCAACTTTGACCCACAAA